TTATCTCCCAGCTCTAAAATACACAGTTGGAACACACATATTGGCATGAACAAAACCACACATTAGCTCCCTGAAGCATGGAGTATGAGCCACTATTCTAGGAAATATCACATTGCTACTCACAATCAAAACAGTAACAGCAAGATTGTATTCCTTAAGGACCTCCAGAGGCTGAAAGACGCATCCCGGCCCACACAAAGTTGGAAAAGTCTTGCAGAATTATTTCAGAGTATCACAAACGCTTAAGTGATGAATGCATTGCGGCTGTTCTACTAGATGTGGGATTTTTACTGAGGCAATCAACTTGGCTACGCAGTTATCCATCAGGCAAATGTTTCTTCTCCTTATTGAAGTTACGCAGTTCAAATGAGCAATCTGTTTTCATCTGGGCAGATTCAGATACACCCTCACTGCCTTCAGAACTATGATAACTCTGCTATTTTTCATAACAAGGTGCACCAAGCATTCTGTTTTGCAGCACACAGAACATCACTTTGATCTATTACACCAAAGACATCATGGTAAACAGACCTGATAGTATTTCAGAGAGCATAAATAAGATATATGAAAAGCAAAGAGTGGAAAATAACCAATTTCAAGTTCTGGGGCTGGTCATCTTCATTAACTGTATGGGAGTCTGGTCAGAAGCATGTTGAAATTCCCACTCTCCTAAAAATGACTGCACTTAATCTGCCTCTAAGAGACACATGACTTGGTGTGGTCCATTCGAAGGCTGGAGGTGAGGTATTAGGAGTGTGCTGCTTGCACCTACCTATGCAGGGGCTTACAGTTGTCAGTTATACATGGGCCCACACTGAGAAAGCTGTGTAGCAGATCCAGGGTGTAAGCCTCATGACCAGCACATTCAAGGCTTCTCAGAGAATCTGTGACAAGTAAAGATACTCTAAAGCTGTGACAGCAAACCTCTTAGAGCTTTCAACGATACAAACAGTCCACTGCAGCATATGCCAGAAGTTCGCCACCACTGCCCTGAAGTCTCTGGCAGGCTCCACGAGAAATCACAGCAGAGATACTTGTCTCTATGTTGTTTGTGCCATACTGCCTTATAATTAACAAGTAAAAGATATTTCTGTTTTGAAGATGGGGGTCTCACAATGCTGTGCAAGCTCTCTTCAACTCCTGGGCTCCCAGGATCCTCCTGCCTCAGCCTCCCAAGTGTGGGGACTACAGCCATGTGTCACCATACCTAGTTAAGTAAATATTTCTGCTGCTTTACCGTCTCCTGGTTTCATAATAGAGCTGCTTATATAGTTCCAAACTCATCCGGATGTCATATAAGACTACTCTAATTGCCTTTAGCATTATTAAGTCAGTCCAATTGTTTTAAAAATCTGGTAAGCTGATGTATTAAGCTGACATGATGGAGCCCTTCAGCTTTCACTGTGGTCATCACTATCTCCTGCATCCACACAGCCATCAGTAGCAAGCTGATGAGGACTTCTGTGGTGCGACCACTAGGGTGGGACCCTAGAAGCTTTCAAATATCTTCATTTTATACTTCTTCAAATCCATTGGTTTTTTTTTAGATCAGCACAGCTAGTTTGGAAGTTTTAAAAATTTCCCTGAAGAGGGGCTGGGGATTTAGCTCAGCGGCACAGCGCCTGCCTGGCAAGCACAAGGTCGTGAGTTCGATTCCTGGTACCAGAGAAAAACCAACAACAACAACAAAAAATTTCCCTGAAGGATGAAGTATTTCATAATCAAGAATCAGGTCAATGAGATCTCTGTAGTCCATATAATAATATAAACACCTCACCCACCCACCCAAGTACTGGGGATTGAGCCCAGGACCTTCATACTGAGTTATATCCAGCCTTTTATTTTGAGACAGGGCCTCACTAAGTTCCCAAGCTGGTCTTCAACTTGCTATCCTCCTACCTCAGCCTCCCAAGTGCTGGGATTACAGGCATACACCACAACACCTGACTATAAGCACTTTTATTGTATCACTCCAGATTAAAACAATGATAGCAATGGCCATTTTTTTTTTTTTTTTTTTG